GCATAAATCTTATATGCTGACAGTTATGACCTTCTCGCTAGCAAACACTTGTCAAAAGTAATTACTTAGATGTTGGGAAGGAGTAATGGGTGAGCTTTTGCCTACCTTCTTGTAACTGATCTAAAACAAGTAGAAAGCTTTGGCAAGAGTTACACTTTCTTGGATCTAGCATACAAAAATTGCTTGTCAGCCTGTTACAGAGTTTTAAACATCACAGCAGCATGATCTCTTGCCAATCAAACCTGCCCTTACTAAAGAAGAAAGATTTAAAAGTCCGACTAGATGAGTATCCCATTTCTACGACTGCTGTCACCACATAGCTCTGCTATTGAACTGGGAAAGAAAATGAGCTTGGAGTGATGTATGTAATTACACCATACACTTTCGTTTCCTACCAACAGCAAACCAAGAATGTTTATTTTGCAGATTTTCCTGCTTGTTCAGTTTCATGACAAGCCACTTGGCTAAGGCACTAACTGCAGTTTGGCTGAAGATATGAAGTTATTTTCATAAGAACAAGGAGGACACATTGGTTTAAATAGGAGCAGGTTTAGGCAGAGCAACTTTTCAGTAGGTCCTCACTGCTGTGTTTTGCAAAAGAGTCTAAAGTGGCCATGTTGGCTTGACATTCTGGCACCTCTACTTTGAAAAGAGTCACCAATGCTTCCTTCTGTAGAAGGATTGTTTTAAAAACAGCATGCTTTCAGCTGTTGTAACTATAGTGGCTTTATACTAAACAGCCACAAGTTGATATATGGATGACTTTGATTTATCCAAATTAATGGCTTCATGCTATGCTATACACCCCCTTGGGTAAATATATAGAACCCTTCCAAAGTGATCATAATCTCTCTGGGGTAGTGTATCAATTCGTAGCTAAAAGAACTTGTCCAGAATGGTTTACAGTACATGGGCTGTACATTATACTATAAGCCACTTTAGAGACATAAATAGAAATGCAGAATGATACATTCATAATGAAGTACACAAGAAGAGAGCAAAAAATGTTCTCAGTTGCTTACATGTACCCACATTCCTGATGATGGTGCTGACCCAAATTCAAATATTGACACTGCTCTATTTTCCAAGAACAGTTCCTAGGCACCATGTTCGCTCTTACGATTTTAATGAGGATTGGGGTTCCCATTCCTCACCTGGCTTCATCCCTCTTGTGCCAACTGTTTTAGTAACAGCTTGCCCACAGTATGTCCTTTAACTAATGACAGTGAAGCTAAACATGGAGAAATGGTACTGTGGTGCCACTTATGAAATGAGGCCAAATTAGGCACCATCACATAAAGAATTAGCAGATGTTGTCTATGCATGCTTTAAAGTGATTTTCAATCATTTATAGCTTTACAGTGTGCTTATTTCCATCCCCATCTTCTTCAAAGATGTATACTTTCAGCCAAACCTGAATATCAAATACCTAGTAGGTATAAACAGCTGCAAATTGACTAAACACAACATAAAGTAAAATAAAACCTGCTGAATTTCATTCTTCCAATGCTCATGTATATTAACTATTCATTGTTTTTTAAAAAGTCAACATTGGAATTCAATCAGTTTGAAAATAGATCTCAACTTCAGCTGAATTAATTTTTTAAAAATTGTTTAAAGTGTTTTAAAAAATAATCAGTTGATGATTATATGCAGGGTTGTTCAATGGTGCCTCAAAAACAGGTTTTTTGGTTATACCTTTTCTACTCTTTCCTTAGGATTGTCACTGCCAATGCAGTGAATAATACTCAAAACTGAATTTGATAATTCATAAATGTACAAATATATCGGGAAAAAGATATATTCAGACTGTGCATGCTTCGAAAATTATTCAGAAAAGCTTCAGGCTTTGTGTGAGCAAAGAATCTTACTGCTATGCTTTGAAGCCGTTTCCTGTGAGCCTGAAAAACAGACACTGCTGCTTTAAGGAAATCAATTCATTACTGTTCATATGACCCTTAAAGCAGCAGCACTTTTTTTCAAGCACGCAGAGGAGTTGAAAAAATGGTGGACTGCTTTAATAAATAGCAGAAAAGTGCTGCACACTTGTGAGTCTCAAAGCACTTCTGTATCCTTTCTGAAGCATGCAAAGCTTGACATACCCTATGTTTTTTTTCCCTATGGAAAAAAACCCACCCAAATTGTAAAGGCTGCCCCTAATTAGAAATGTAAGGGAAATCCATCATGCAAAATGCTGTGATTCACCAAAATGAAAAGAGAAAATATGTATATGTTAGGGAACCCATAGAAATTGCATTAATACTTGAACAAATTAATGATCTGGACCAGATAAAGGATTAGCAATTAATTCCTAATCTGAATTTATCACTGCTAAGTTACCAAGCTTTACTCATCAATTAAGCTTTAAAACGCTATATTATGTTGAGATGGACACTTAGACATTATTTTTAACTGTTTTAATTGGTTTTAATGGTTGAATTGTGTTGTTTGTTTAGTTTTCGTTTTAATTGTGTACACCACCCAGAGTCACATGCAAGTGAGACAGGCAGCTACATAAATTCAATAAATAAATAAATAAATAAATTTATTTGCATTACAGTAGACAAAGATACTATCATCATCCTAAAACACAGCATTTAATATATTTGGGGGCCTTATATAATTAACGTTTTAATTCAGGATGGTAAAACAACAGAAAATTTAAGTAAAACATAAGATTATGATTTTTCATAATTGTCTTCATATATTGCCACTTCCATTATTAACTACAGCCATTTTAATAAGCTTATTGTTTCCTTGAAAACTCATTGGAAGAAGATGTACCCCAAGGTGACATGTATTCAATTTAATATAATTTGTAGATAGTTAGGTAATTTAAGGATAAAATTCCCAAAAGTAACTGCTGTATGCAGAGCAATTATGTAAATTCTAATTACACTTATAATATATCTGCAGGATCTGTAGGACTGTCCCACAGAGAGAAGCTTTGTCTTATTGACAGTAGCTATCTAAGTTACATTTCTGTTAGCCCTAAAGAACAAAGGAAAATAAATGACACAACCTTTAAATGAATGCATATTGTTGTTTTTTGTTAAGTATAGTTGTGCTTAAATACTGTTAGTAGTCAATTTCTAGAAGAGATGGAAAAACCTGAGAAGACTTCCACCAGATTATAAGGGCCAATTTTAAGCCAGAAAATATTTTCCTGGCTAAGGAAGACAAGTGATTAATATCAGTAAGTTCAATTCCATACTCAATTTGTAATTAACAAGAAGTGAATTTGGAGCCAGGGATATCTGGAAAAAAAATAGATTTAGAGTTTAGCATATTTTTCTCCTGTTGTCATTCACCATTTTTAAGGCAAATTTTGTACATGTCATAACACAAATGATTTCCATATTTATAGCAAGTAGACATTTCTTATGTTGGCAAGATTAAAAAAGTTTTCTTAGCCTTTCCTCCTCTATCAGCGCTATTGCTTAATCAACTCCATAGAGAAGTGACAGCTATCCTACATTTATAAAAAGTGGCCTTGAAGGATCTTTAAATTATCAAGATTCATACACAGCTATCTACTAGCAATCAAGTATGAAAATGTACTAGGTTTTTCGACTTGCAGTGTTTTGAACAGCAAATACATTATCCTTTTCTTAATCAATATCCACCCAAAAACTTATATAAACTTCCTGACTTTTATGAAAAAGAACCCAAGTAGTTAATAACACCAGTCAGTTTACGACTGCAAAGATATCCTGCTGTTTTGCAATGGCTGCTGGATTATACATCCTACACATCTGTTTGCTTTGCAAGTTGCTTGTACATTGACTATGCACAAAGTTTCGTCATTATATATAAAATGTGGTATGTAATCTAAAAGATACTTATGCTGGACTATCCTTTGTCACCTTGATGCTAATGTTCAAGGTGCCTTCAAATACTTCCTTCTATTTCTTGCAGCTTTGAAACCGTAAAGGCCCCTACAGGCCCACCATACATGGTTTCCCCAACAAATGAGTTTCAAAAGAACTGCAGCACTAGCAAAAAAATTGGCAATGGCAAAATCCAATACCGATAAAGTCTCTATAAGCTATAACGTTAGATTGTTCTTGCTGATTAAAATCACTTTGATTATGTTAGGCAGCTTCATTCTTAGGCCAAGAGGCTGTTATGGAGGCAAATGAGGCAGCCACAAGAGATGTATGATACCTGAACTATGAAAATATCAAGAGAGAGATTAAATACAATGGCTGCCCATTTGTAGAAGGTATACAGAGACAAATTACAGTGGACTTTAGAAACACAAACAAGAAAACAGCATCCAGTTCAGCTCTTGATCGTTTCATGCAATATATTTATGCTAACCCTTATAAGCTAAAACACAGAGACAGCAGTGAACTCCTAATTAATTTATACCAACAAAAGCCAATAAAAAGCACAGGGCCCCTCAACATAGTCAAGAAGAATTCCAAGCACAATTTCGGATACGAAAACAACTTACAATCAAGGCTAGACTCCAGAATGTCTATAATCAAATCTAGAGTGCTTTGCTGTGCCTCTTTTCAAGGAGGTTTAGTTGTCGATCTACAGTACTTACCATATGTAGGTCATGGGAATTGTTAAATTAACTTGACAGCAAAAACACATTTATGGCCCCTAAACTCTAGAAACAAAAACTTCTTTGTAATCATTCTTCTTTTGTGCTATGCAACTATATAAGTTGGAGGTCACCAAGATCAAATATTCATTAAAGAGTAGGGTTTTTTTCATACACAACATTATGGGTTCTCTTTCACTACCAAATCCAGGGCTCACTCTCCGTCTAATTCAGTTCTTTCACAAACATGGAAGTGTCAGGCATTTTTAATTGAATGAGAGATGTTACACTTAGATTTTCTATTTCGGCTACCACTACCCCTTCAAAAGCCTATTTCATTAAACATCAATCTTCTGGTGAGAAGCAGTCTTCTTGTTGCTGTGACTGTCTTTCTAATTTAAATGGTAGGTGGAGAACGGTTGCATTCGAAAAGAAGGATTCTTACCTGCTGCTTTGACAACATCAGCAGTGGTGATACCAAGGGCATTTGGGTGCACTTTGAAGGTCACAGCCGGCCCCAGCACGCTACAAAAAGGGAGTTGAAGCAAGAAATTGGTAACCAAGAAAGACAAAACACATATCTATTCAAGGATAACAATTCCCTTTTAGTTCCCTTTCTTAGGTTCAGGAACAAAAATATGTAAATCGTTTTTAATTTTAATTATTTTTTATTTTTAAATGTGTAAATCATTTTTAACTCTCTCACTAAAATTAGGATGCAAAACTTCATTACAAATGAAAAAAATAACAGAATGAAAGGCCATTTTGGTTCAGTTTTCATTCATTACAAAACAAAAATCAGTCTTGCCTCTAGTCCTGGTATTCTCTAATGGACTCCCATCTAAGTATTAACCAGACCTGACTCTGCTTAGTTGCAGGGCCCAGCAAGGCCAGACATGCTCCCACCTGCTGAAATTGGTGATAGCTGTTGAAAAAAGCTACAGTGACATCAAAATGATGTTGTGTGTTTCAAGGCATTATTGCACAAAAGAGGTGAATTTTATACTTATGCCCATATGCCAAATAATGCTAGTATGTTCTTTGCATCATTTATTCAATGATGTCATGAGGATGTTATGTCAGGTAATGTCATTGTAACTGTTGAGAAGGGGTCAAAATTCATCCTTCACCATTGAGTTTGGGACTGCTGCTGCCTAAGACAGGAACCAATTTTACTCTTTTTTATAAGAGTAAATAAAAGCCACCAGAATTTTATAAGTACCACAAAATACACTATATATGTGGCAAATATCTCAAACATTAAGAATAACATCAACCCGGTCTCTAAGCTCTGTAAACTTTCATGGGCATACACACAATTTCCTTTCCTTCCCTATTTCTCTCCTTCCAATTAATTCGTAAACATTTTCTTTTCCTTTAATGATCTACTAGTATAGTTGAAGAAAACTCTTAACACTTTTTTTAATGCCTTACTTTTATCAGTCAAAGATGGAAACAGAAAACATCTTCCTCACCCAGAATGTTCTTCCTCACCCCTCCCACCCTTGCTCTAGCAAATAGTCAAAAGCCTCCAATCTACATTTCATTGAAGGCTTTTAATGGAAAATTCAGAGGGGGGCAATAAAAATGGCATTTAAAAGAAGACACATTATGTCCACTCTATGCTTGACTTAAATTCCATAACTTATTAGGACAGCCACTAGAGAGTGGCAGTGGAATATTATTTTAGCCCCACAATGTTTATGTTGCTGTTCAGTATCTACATGGAGATACCACAGATGGTCATTCAGAAATGTGGAGGGAAACATCTTCAGAATACAGATGATACTCAGCTCTATTCACTTTTATACCTGAATCAGGCGAAGCTGTGCAAATGCTTGGCACCTGCTTGCAGGCTATGGTTTATTATTTATTATTTATTACTTGGGCCATTCAACCTCCTTTTACCATAAGGAGAGATTTACCTACCAGATTCTCATATTCCATCCCTATTATGGAAAAAGTAGACTTGAACCACTGGACTACATGAGGATCGACAAACTGAAGCTGAATTCAGGTAAGTCAGAGTTGCTGTGAATAGATGATCTTCAGGTTAATAATTAGGAAGGTGGCTTGTTACACATAATGTAGCATTCCATCTGAAGGGACAGATGAATGGCTTGGTGATCTTCCTGATTCCAATCAAAGCACAGAGGGCCTCAGGGACAAGGAATGGTCCTGTCCAGTTTCAGTTTATGCTTCAGCTATGACTCACCTGGTAATCCATATTTTAATAACCTCACAATTGGATTACCACAAGATTCTTTACACAGAACTACCCATAAACTTGTTTAGAAGCTGCAAATGATACAGAACAGAGTTGTCCATTTGCTACATATGGGACAAAATGAGCCACTTAACTGCTGTTCTTAAAGAACTTTGCTGGCTGCTTGTGAGCTCCTAGGGCCAATTCAAGAGACTGATGTGAGTTTATGAAGCCCTAAGTGAACCAGGACCAGTGGTGTCCTGGAGCCAGGTTGTACTGGCTTGCAAGAGCTGATTGTTCTAGGACATAAGTGTCAGTAAGAACAGCTCTAGGTCAAGCCAGTCTTTTCTATCACATCTAAATGAACTCTGTTTTAAACTATTGTATGGACTGTTTTATGGAAGCTTTCTTCATTGTCAATTGCTTTTATCAAATTTGTTCCACTGAATATTGTTTTTTATACATCACTTTGGATTCCTTTTGTGAATTCTGTCCTAGATGTAATATCCACACATATAGTTTATTAAAAAAAAAAAAAATGAAAGACAGAGACAATGTGGCAGTTTGGATAAGAGGCACCCAGAACTCTGAGAAAAAAAGAAAAAATGCTACAACTGCTGAAATATGGAGTAGGGAGATTTTTATGGAAATCTGTATTTCTATGACTCCTGTTATATATTAATTTATATAAAATACAAAATATTGATTATGAATTATTATATGCCATCATGTCAGTATCAACTCTTAGTGATCACATAGGTAGACCTTCTCCAGGAAGATATGTCCCCAACCTGGTCCTTTAGATCTCCCCATGATGCACCCAGCATCACTGTAATTAAATTCATCCACCTTGCTGCCGATCATCCTCTTCTCTCCTTCCTTTTTCCCTAGCATTACAGATTTCTCACCTAACGTATCCAAAATATGATAACTGAGCCTGATCATTTGTGCCTCAAGTGAGAATTCTGGATTGATTTGTTCTATGATCTATTTGTTTGGGGGGGGGGTTGGCTATCCCTGATATTCTCATAATATATAAAGCACAATCCTTTTCTAGGGAGACCATACTGCTAGCATATATATATAACCAGTCCCATTAGCTTCTTCTACCTATTAGTTGTGGGCCACATTCTGCCACATGGCAACATCTAATATCAGTAGCATGTTCACTGCCTAGCTTGCATACTATGGATGGTACTGTGGATGCCAACAAGAAATAGTTGTTCCCTTTACAGAACTAGACCAAAATGGTAATTTATCTAAGCTCTGAGTTCAATCAAAAAGGAAGGAAGTGCCAGACAGCTCCACCCAGTAAGGATACAGTGAAGTGAATATGGCTGCCCATGTTGTACACAATGAAAACTAGGGCAACATAAATCTTGAGGTAGTTTTAATATTAATTAAAATGTGAAAAAAGGATCTCATCATTCTTAAATTTGCTTAAAAAAGAGACAGCATTGTGGTACAAGATACTGCTCTGTTACTTTGACAACATTTTCAGTATTACTACCACCCCTGGCTAAAATTGCCCACAATTGTTTTGACACCCCTCTTAAAGTTCCATTGAAGGATATATTATGACCTGAGATGCATTTCATTGCAAACAAACTATTCTCATACATCATCCATGATCAGCCTGGTTAATAAAGAGCATTGCCTCCTTTGAGACAGATAACATTACAAATCAACAAACTGTGTAGATGAAAAAATAGGTCATAAATATAGGACAACAAAGCCTAGTCAGCAAATGAATCATAGCATCCATGAAGCAGAGACAAGTAAAGAGACTTAGTCATTCTTGAGAATTACATAACAATATCAATTTATTGTTTATTGATAGAACTTGTCAAAAAGTACTTTTTAAAAAATTCATGGATTCATAACAATTTAAACAGTAAATTATCTTATTTAGTGAGATAAATACCCTATAAAGGAGATTGCAGAGAGCAGAGATGATAAAAACTCACATCCTTCTTATTCAAAACATGATTATTTCTATCATCAAATGAATATATTAGTTGCAGGGGTATCAATGGGGTATAGTAAAAAAAAAGTCAAGATGGCAGCCGTAACAGTGCAATTGAAGCTCCATCTGTTTTTTTATATGTGTTGCATCAGAGCTTCAATCACAATGAACAATGTCACGACTACCATCTTGATTGTTTTGACCATACCCTCTGGACACCCCTGATTATTTGCCAGGAATAAACTAAATTCTTAATTATAATTTCTTCATTTAGAGAAAGGAAGGCAGCGTTTTGGTGGTTGGTGCTATAACCAACATTTGTGGGGGAGGGCAAAGGCAAAGGAGCAATGATAAGAAGTGGTGAGACATGTAACAAACTTGGGTGAGACAGGATTTTCTATTTTTCCCCTCTTGGACTTGGCTGAGTTTAGGACTTTTTTCTTTCATTTTAAACCATAGCTTATGCTATGACTTGGTAGGAGTATTTTCATGACAGTGATTTTTGACAATTAAGATTGAAAGCATTTCCAGTGGTCACAAAAAGAAGTTCCAACTCCATGTTGTCCTGGGATTATAGGTTACCTATTCCTGGTGTCCAAGTGCTGTTTCAAGGCTATTTCCTCAAAGCATTCACGATACACTAAAATTATTACAAACCTTGCTATAGTAAATCATAATTTTTAAAAATCATACAGTATGTTACCTCCATATCAGCCATAGGTTAATTTTGAACAGAAGAAAACTTTGGAAGATATAACCATACTGGTCATGTTATGAATTGCTAGTATATTGTTAGCTGATTTGTAAGAAAGGTCATATATATTGAGTTAATTTGATCTCCTTCCTTCTCCATATCCCTTTAGGCAGCACACCAATGTCAGCATTAGTATTTTGCTAATTCTAACATGAAATGGAAGAATATGAGTTTCTCATCAATGAGCAAACTGAAAAGCAAGGTAACTTAGGTGGGAAGCATGGCTGCACAATCAATACAAAATTGTTTGCATCATTTGAGTTGTAGTGCTACAATTAGTTTTATAAATGAGACCACTTAAATACTTATAGATTATGGATTGAATCTCAGATGGCCACACTTCTTCCTCATGTAGATCCTCATTAATAAAATATAAAGAAAGATTGTAGTGAAATGAAGTGACAGTCTGCTATACCCCCTAGTGGAAAAGAATTTAAGAAGTATGTACTGAAGACTTAGCTAACTTCCTATCAGCAATGAAGCTGAGAACGAGTGGCAGAAAGAAGAAACATTATTCTAAAATTATGATATCTCCAAATGTCATGATTAAATATGAAATGAGGCCAGTTTCTTGTGTTTTGAATGGTTATACAGAAAGA